TAAGCCAATCTGATTCAACCAAAAAAACAGCTTTTCTAGTACATTCAATTGAAAAGGCCCATGTAGAGACACTGCCATCTCCTGGCAACAAGAGAATATATTGAAAAGATGCCCCAAATCTGCAACCCCTACTAGAATTTTTCCCCCGAGGATAGTTGTATGCAAGTTGAGAGAGATGACTAAATTATTTTCTACAGTTATATTTTAACATTTTTGTCAAAATTATTCTAACCTCCTATCATATATGTGGCCAGGCTTCCCCATACACAGGAGAAATTTTACATTTATACAGTACTTTCAGTACTTTTACCAATATGTCTGTTTTATTTTCAAAATAACCTTGTGAGGCACCAGAGAAGACATTGCTAGCCTTATTTTACGCATAAAAACTGACGTGAGCCAGGCACAGTGGCTCACTCCTATAATCCTTACAACTCTGGGAGGCCAAGGCAGAAGGATTGCTTGTGGCCAGGAGTTCGAGGCCAGGAGTTCAAGACCATCCTGAACAAGAGCAAGACACTGTCTGTACAAAAAATAGAAAAATTAGCCAGGTGTGGTGGCACATGCCTGTACTCCCAGCAACTCAAGAGGCTGAGGCAGAAGAATCACTTGAGCCCAGGAATTAGAGGGTGCAATGAGCTATGATGATGCTAATGCTAATGCCCCTGTGACAGAGCAAGACCCTGTCCGAAAAACACAAAACAAAACAAAAACAAAAAGACCACAGGTGAGAGATTATTTAACTTCCCTCAAGGTCACATAGTTGGCAGTGCCAGAACTTCAAGTTTGCTGACTCCTGGAGCAGTTTTCCATACTAAGGAGAAACTGGGGAGAGGAAGAAAGAGATTGAAGAAAACCAACAGAAACCAGAATATTTAATTATACTGTTACGTTACCTGGTTTTGGTCTGTTGAACAGGAAAGACTTTGCCTAGTCTTCTCTCATGGCCTTTCATCTTCCCAGAATCCTTGTCAAGAACATCCTGCTTTTTTTCAGAGTGGAAGGAATGCAAAAGGAAAGATGGTTCTTAGTTGTATGAAAACCATTGAAAACATTATTTATGGAAATATTTTTAAACTAGGGTCTAAAAAGGCATATCCTTGAACACTACTGCGTATCAGATACTTCTGATAGTGCTTTAAATGAGATAGCAACTATATTCTTTAAAAAAAAAAACCTGGTTGGTCCAATGGTAGTGGGTTATCATAACTTTGGGACTTAAGCTAAAACTCAAAAAAAGGAGAAATAATAATAAAATCATCTTCTTAGTAATTATTCAATAGATAGATGGTAACTTAATATTATGTACCAGGTACTGTAAATACATTATTTCCTTAATCCTTACCATACTATAAAGTATTATTACTCCAAATTAGATAAGAACTGTGGGGGAACATAGAGGCTAAATAATTGATTCAGGATCACAGTGCTATCAGGATTCAAATCCCAATTTGAATACTAAGCTCTGCTACATTGTAATACTAAGCTCTGTACATTGCGGTACGGGATGTCCATAGCTGGGGAGGCTGTGCCTGTGTGGGGACAGGGAGCATATGGAAACTCTGCTATATAGCTTCTGAGTGAAAATAATTTCATTTTTCACTTCACCTTGAAAAAAACATACTTACTTTGTTTGATGAACTGGAAACAACAGGAAACTTCATTTCACAACTTGATTTATGTGATCCACCATTTCTCCAGGATGACCCCATATTAGAAGGAGTTTCTGAATGGTCTGAGATCTGAGAAAATGTAGGTGTAGATTTCTGGCTGTCAGGCATAACTTTATCAGAGACAGTTTGCTGAAAGTTATTGTTTGAAGGAGAAGAGAATGGGAGCCTATCCCAAGCAGAGTTATTGGGGCTGATCCCTTCAGATTCAGTGCAAAGTTTGCTCTCATTCAGGCTAAGACCATCTTCTCTCAACTCTTCCCCAAGGAAGGAGGATTTTTCAGTATCTTTGGATGAATCAGTTTTGTCCTTATCAAGCACAGCATCACAGACTATTGGATTAAATGGTGCAACCGTTACTTTTATAAAATTCTTTTCTAGTGCAGAGCGTCTGTTTAATGGTTTAGTGGGAGTTGGTCCATGACCAACTGAAGTACTTAGTTGAGGTAGTTTAAAGAAGCCAGGGGTCTCAGCTACTGGTCCCAAGCTGCATAATGAATTTTTCTCTTGGGGAGTATCAAGTAGAATTTGACTCCCTCTTTCTCCCTTTTCAACAAGCCCACTGTCATCTTTACACAACCCTCTTTCCCAAGAAGAATGGTCATCTGATGGCTCATCAATCTTCAAGAGCTCCTCAATCTCTTCCTCCGTGTAACTGTAATGGCCATCATCTTCTTCTCCATCAGACAGCTCCAGCAAGGAGTCATCCAATTCATCCTCATCCAAGGAACCCCAGGAAAATGGGGCACTGTCTTTAGGTATGAGAGAGGTACCAGAAGACTGTCCAGAGGGCACTAGTGAGCACATCATATCTAGAGAAATAAGAGGCAGTTTCACTGAGGAACAGGAAATACCCTTATAGCAATTCTAATCTGCTGTATATAGGGGTGGTATCCTAATATTTCAAAATCTTTGCACTGTGACTTGTAACATGAGAAATAATTTTAAGATATTTGATCTTACTGAAACCATGAAAATACATATTAGAACAATGAGATATTTTTTCTCTATCAAAATGGTAATAATTTTTTTGGTTTGTTTTTTGAGATAGGGTCTAGCTCTGTTGCCGAGGCTAGAGTGCAGTAGCATCATCATAGTTCACTGCAACCTCAAACTCCTGGGATCAAGTGATCCTCCTGCATCAGCTTCCTGAGTAGCTGGGACTACAGGCGACCACCACCACACCCGGCTAATTTTTCTACTTTTCGTAGAGACGGGGGTCTCGTTCTAGCTCGGGCTGGTCTCGAACACCTGAGCTCAAGCAATCCTTCTGCCTCGGCCTCCCAAAGCACTAGGATTACAGGCATGAGCCACCACACTCGGCCCAAAATGGTAATAATTAAGATGACAGGGGCCAGGCATGGTGGCTCATGCCTGTAATCCTAGTGCTTTGGGAGGCCGAGGCAGGAGGATTGCTTGAGCTCAGGAGTTCGAGACCAGCCCGAGCTAGAGCGAGACACCGTCTCTACTACAGATAGAAAAATTAACTGGATGTGGTGGCACATGCCTATAGTCCCAGCTAATTGGGAGGCTGAGATAGGAGGATCACTTGAGCCCAGGAGTTAGAGGTTGCAGTGAGCCATGATGCCGCCACTGTACTCTACCTATGGGACAGAGTGAGATCCTGTCTCCAAAAAATAAAAATAAAAAAGATGACATGATAATCTGGGTTGGTAAGGATGTGGAGAAACAAGCACTCTCACATACTATTGGTAAGAGTATAAGTCAGCACGATATTTTGTGAAGAATAATTTGGCAATATCATTTGACCCAGCAGCAATTTCACTTCTGAATATTTATCCTTGAAAAGTACCTGTTACAAATGCACACACAGATACTTATATAAGGATATTCAAAGCAGTGTTATTCAAAGTAGCCAAATGTTGGAGGCAACCTAAATGTTCTTCCACCAAGAAAACTGTTCATTAAAATCATGGTACATTCATGCTCTGGAGTATTTTTCAACTATTTAAAAACACAATGAAGAAGATCTGTATGTATTATCATAGAATGATATCTACAACATACAAACAAAACAAATATACTATGTAAAATGTTTGGACACTCACAGTTTAAAAAAGCAAATATGTATTACTTTTGAAATGAAAAAAAATTCAAGAATAAAAGAAGATAAATAATTGTCTTCCATACTGTGTAAAGCTGCTGGAGCGATCTCTGCCTTTGCCACGAGACCAAGTGGAAAAAGATTTCAGCTCCTGCTAGCTGTTCTTTCAGGAGACTTGTCAAAATGATTGACTCCCACCTTCCTGCAGGTACAAAGAAAATTAAAGGATCTTCTCATCACTTTCAACTCTACTAATTACAAAGTCAACTGTATTATGCTTTAAGGTGCTCCATCTATTAATTTGGATCTTGATTTTTTTTTTAAATACCACAAAGTTGGATTTTTTGAGTCAAGAATACCAAAGAAAAATCTTTACAGTAAAAAATTATGCAACTAAAGGAACTACTTTTGTTCCTCCCAACAATTTGTACTTTCTTAAGACTATCATTTACTTCAGTAGGATGAATACTTGCTTGGGGAGCCCAACGTCCTGGGCTGTAGTCCTGGTTGCATCACTAACCAGCTCTAGTAACTTGGGCAAGCCACTCAACCATTTGGACTTGTTTCCTCATTTACAAAATAGGAAAGGAATTAGGCGATATCTAAGATTCCACCAAAATCTAAAAATTAACCATGACCACGCACACAAAAATCTCATTTTTAATACACATATAAATGCAAAGAAAAGGTCTATAAAGAGAGAAACAAAATCAATGACTATTATAATCTGTGGGGAGACAGAGTTCACAGCAACCTCAAACTCCTGGACTCAAGCGATCCTCCTGATTCAGCCTCCTGAGTAGCTGGGACTACAGGTGTTCACCCACCTAATTTTTTCTATTTTTAGTAGAGACGCGGTCTCACTCTTGCTCAGGATGGTTTCAAACTCCTGACCCCAAACGATCCTCCTGCTTCGGTCTCCCAGAGTTTTAGCATTACAGGCCTCAGCCACCATGCCCAGCCTTTACTTGTATAAGTAAAACCTAGTTTTTCAGTAGCTAATGACAGACCTAATCTGTAATTGTATTTCCAGATGGGAAAGGTGAGAAAAACTGATTATTTCACATATCATATCTGAGAAGCTATAATAAATGCTTAAACAATGAAAATAATTTGGAAAGTTCCTTGTAGCCTTTTAACTGTAAAAATTTCCACCACTCTACACCTCCAAGGTAGCTCCATACCACACCTTGAGTTTTAGCTTCAGTTCATGCATTCTTTTAGAAAACATTTTCTGAGCTACAATCATCACACAGCACTGAGGTACGTGATAAGTCTCTATATGACTTCTAAGAAATAAAGATATGGTTCCCACTCTCAAGGAAATGTATAACATTGCTAGGGACACAACATCGAAAATTAAGGACCAATATGAGATAATATAAAATGGTATGGACAATAAAGTACTAGAGAAAGAGTTAGAAGGAAAGGGGAGGGATTACAGAGTTTTAGAATTAGAAGGAACCTAGTTAAACTTACTCATCTTAGAAATGAAATGGGACAAGGTGCTTATTAAGAAAATAATCCATCATGACCAAGTGGGCTTCATCCCAGAGATGCAGGGATGGTTCAACATATGCAAATCTATAAATGTAATTCACCACATAAACAGAAGCAAAAACAAAAACCACATGATTCTCTCAATAGATGCAGAAAAAGCATTTGACAAAAT